GGGGGGGGGGGGGGGGGGGGGGGGGGGGGGGGGGGGGGGGGGGGGGGGGGGGGAGGATTACTTCGAGTACTGTATGTGACACAAGAGAGCATAACCCAATAAATAATAAAAATTTTGGGTTTTGTACGAGTAACTCCAGGTGTGTTTTTTGTGTCGGGGATCTGTATAATGTGTAGCCTTGATCTGATAGTAGTTGTGTGTTTTTGCTCTTGTTGAACTCAGAAGACGTGTAACCACCGTGTGTAGTATTCTGTGTGGGTGATGTGTGTCATCTTGTTGGGGGGTGTTGTGCCGTATACGTACGATATCTGCCGCCCTTGCCGTTTGTTCATCAATGACATGTTTACTTGAGCAGCAGCGTATATATTCATCTCTATCCACAGATAAGATTCCAAGATAGACAGGAATACATTCATGGTGTTACCCGACGTACCTGTCTTTCTACTGATGTCCGAGCAATATGCGGTGATTTCTCTGTCTCGACCGCGCTTCAGGGTGTTGTTCGATGTGGAGGCGTCTCTGAACGAGGGAGCGCTTACCCTGGTGAATGCCGGCCAACCATGCCTCCGGATAATCTTCGACCTCAAGGCCGATCTGGTGAAGCAGAAGACCGACTGGAGACTCGAGCTGGGGCTCGGGGCACTCCAGGCGTTCGGCCTAGCCGGCCAGGTATGCTAAGAGTAAACACCGCATCGAGGGCTAGAGCTTACGGAGCGTTGCGGTGTCTGTGAGGGAGCGGAACCTGCGGAGTCGCTTGATTTTGACGGTGAAATTTTTCCCACTCTTTCGTGTACTTCTATTTGTTGTCATGTCTCCTCATTCTCCTGCAGTAGTATTGAGTGTTGCGCATTAAGCAAGGACCGTACCGAGCTGCTTTGTCAGTGTCTGAAGGAAGATTTGGGGGTTGACTCGGGCGACACGAGCCTCACAGCGTTCAACCCCCTAGGCTACTGCTTGGACAGGCGCATCCATCATTCTTTTTTTTATTATTATGTCCCTCTTAACGTTTTGTCTCTGTATGCTGCTGCGGCCTGTACCTTGAATCTCTCGATAACCAGGGAGCCCGCGCAACAACACTGTTGACAAGGAGGACGTGGAGACCGCCCAAGGCAGTTGGGGGTGGCGACGCCGGCATGATCCAGATAGGTGCGCGAGTATGCGAGAGGAGAGGAGAATCTGTGTCACTTGACGCCCTACAACAACACAACACAAGAACAAGAATGCTTGCCACGAGGAAAGAAATAATTTGTGGCCATTGCTGATAGCAATTCAACAGCAACCGAGACACACCGGGTTAAGGGGGGCACGCGGCGGGGCCGGTAGGGCCAACCTACGGAAGGGACGGGGTTGTTTTTCTCGACCCAGGTCGCCCCGGTTGTCAATAAATAGTTGGGTATCCTCGCAGCCGGAAGGGTCAGGGGTTCGAATCCCGGCGGACGCGAGATTTTCTTGTGAAGCGAGTTTTTCTCTTGCATTCGTCTACAAAGGACATGAGCTATGCCTCCGAGCTTCCTTTCACGCTCAAAGCTGTTGATGCGCACCCCACTCCCACCGTAACATAACTGTTCTTAACTCTGACCTTCTGCTATTCTGCTCTTTGTTGATGCCCGCCGGGTGTTGCAGGCGACTTCCAGGTGTGGAAGAGCGGCGGGATCATCGTGGAGTATCAGCGTGTAGACCCGGACAACGCCGCCTCGAACGAAGGCGGTGGCAGAAGCAGCAGCAGCACCCCCGCCGGCCCAGCCCGAAAAGCCCTCGCTTCTCCCCTGGTGTCTCCACGAGCCGTTTCTTCGTCGGGGGGGGACGGCGGTGGGGTGTCGGCAGACCAAGCCGGTTCCGCCGGTCGTTGGGGCGGTGGCGGCGGCGGCGGCGGGGCGGTGGTGACCGTGAAGGTCGTGTTTGCGCCGCATCAGCTCATGCATAATCGCCCTTGTGTGGACCAGGTAATGAACCTGACAGTCCCGTGTGTTTCCTCGGAGCATCGATACTGCATAACGGTTGCGCCGCACTTGTTTCGGCCGTCGTACGGTTGTCGTTTCCGTCTTCGGTTTTGATAGCCACGTGCGTATATATTATGTAATGGTCAATGGTATTGGCTTTTTGGATGCATTTTTCTATGATTTTCCGCTCCTTGTATACGGTGTTGCTCTGTGGGCGTGTCGTATCAAGCGGAATCTGCAGGTTTTCCACGTGACGTTTACTAAGGCCGTTCGCCGTGGTGTGTCTTATCCCATTTTACTGCTGTGTACGCCATGACTTGGTGTTGAGCAGTCCGTACCCAAACAATCCGCACCGACGTTTCTGCTTGCAAAGTGTTCACCCCCTCCTCCTGTTGGTGGCTGTCCGTAGGTGACAAGCATGTTTGCGACGAGGGACATGCGCCTGCTGGCGTCGGCCGCGCAGTCCAAGATCAGTCGGCTCAAAAGGGCAACGAGATCGTCCTTTATGCACGCCCTGGGCAGCAGCAAGAGGGTAGAGGTGGGAGACCGATGTTCCACCTTGACCCTCAAAACAGCAACGCGATAACAGTCGCAGTCATTTAGATTCACATCAAAGCGCAGGGTGGCGGCCCGTCGAGTATCCGTTGTTCTTGGCAGGAGACCCGGAAGTTTTTTGTAGTTGGTACCGCAAGCAATCCTTCAGCAAGAAATGCCCCTGTCCCACTATGTATGGTCATAAGTCAAGATTGTATCATCTTGGTCAGTCGATCCCTCTGTTTTGATTGGCCGTCACTTTTTGGAGAACCGGCGACGATTGGGACAGCTTGGAAATCCCACACAAAAACCATGCGGATACCACGAACTGGAATGCGTGTGCTGCTCTCGATTCACGTACGTTTTCCTAACGCAGACCCTCCCCGTTCCTCCTTACCGTAGAAATTGTCATCCTTTTTGTACGTTAACACTGACACGTGGGAGGCCATGGCCACAGCAGCCGGCAGAAATCGAAAAAACGATGCGACGACGTGCGTTTTTCGTGCGCCTGTTTTTGGATCCTTGAACCACCAAAGGTGACGGCGGATATCCACGCTCCACTTGTGGTGCTTCCGGAAGACCTGGAGGTAACTTGTTGCGTGTCGCCTTCGCTGGTTTCTTTGTCCTTGAAAAATCCCCCCCCTCCCTTGCAATCTAGACTTCAGTGGGTTGGCGCTGTTGGCAAAGCGCTGTAAAACACGCCACCCCAAATATAGCCC